GATTCGGACATGTATCTACCTAATTTAATTAACACATAATATAACAAACATTATAAAAGTATTATAAAATAAGGAAACCCTAATACTCTGGTATTGTTTATTATATCAGTACTGGGCTATAATAACTAAATTTCTTCAGTAGTTTATAGCAAAGTATTTGAACCATTTGTAAGTTTATAAAGAGTTTGTTTGCATCGCGCTACGTTCTGCTCATTGATTTCAATGGTTAGCGTTAGCATTAGCTCAATGCATAAAAATCCCCTTTGCGAAGCCACGCCCAGGTCACATGACGCCCAATCCAGTGAGATATATATATCAATGTTTGAAACATTTGAGCTGGTCGGTGTTTGTATGTTTAGACGTTCATGCAGAAAGAAGGAAACAGATGGTGGAGACAAAGCAGCTGCTTGGAGGTCTCAGGACAGATCTGAAAGGTAACGGGGGTCCCGTCCTCTCCTTCCACTGAGCATCTCTCTGCCAAACACTGCACACTTGAGAGCACAGAGTAACAAAGCAGCTCTTTTCTTTAGTCTTTCCTCGAAGTGCCCTGCTCTCCCTCCACTCCAGTGCTCTCAAATGTGGACCCAAAGAGTGTAGAGTTCAAAGGGCGGAGCTTCGATTTCTGATTTTCTTCCAGAGTCGAAGCTTTTGTTTACTTCCTGGTAGCCTGCTGGGGGAAAACGGTGCTAAAGCCTGGCTCGGACACAAATATCTCAGCTATGCACTAAACAAACTCTTTGGGGTTGCTTTTTCAGTCGTGTTTACATCACAAATGCTTCTTGGTGTGTTTGGGGGGCTCTGCTGGATGGAAAGGTTACTGGGGCAGGTGGCAGCAGCTTGGGTGGGCGCTGTGGTTTCCAGGTCCTTCTCTGCTTAACTTGGGTCCCGGTAGTTGAGTGTGTTTATTTTTATTCATCTTTTTGCTTCTGTTTAGGRGGCTGGATGGCCTGGTCGCTGTGGTCTGCCTGTGATGACTCGGGAATCCAGATGAGGAGTCGAGTTTGTGGTGCTCAGGGCAGCATCCCCTGTGTGGGGAACAGCACTCAGCACAGAGACTGCAATGAAATACCTGGTGAGTTGGTCACTTCTCTGACGCTTTACTCTGAAGAGGTTCAGGTTGGCCGTTGGGCAGAATGAGGGAAAAGGCACTTTTGTACATTCTCTCTGTGTGCCTGAATGTTAGAAAACACTCTMTAAGCTTTTATCAGGCTTTGATTTTCACTTTTGTCACCACAAACTGCATGATGCTTTCATGTAGAAAGTCCTAGTCAACTCTTTTCTCAGGAGTGCTCAAATGCCTGCTGTTCCAGGTTTGTTTGCTTTCACAAAAGCTGCCTGAATTTTCTCTATTACAAGTCGATGGCAAAAAGGAGAATAGAGCAGGGGTGYGCAATCCTGGTCCTGGAGGGCCGCAGRRCTACATGTTTTACATGTTTCCTGCTCCAACACACCTGATTCAGTCACTGAACTACCTCTTCATGTTCTGCAGTATGGAGGACCGAAACTGACATAATTAGAAATAAAAGCAGAAATAGATAAATGAGCCTTTAAATAAATAAATACATTTAAAATGCACCAAATAAATTTAAAAAGAAAACTTTACCTCATGTTTTTATAATTTAATTGACCTTCACATTTATTTTTCCAGCTTAGTTCCAATAAATTATATATTTTAACACACAATTAAAATTTTAATGGTTTTTTAAATATGTATTTAC